CCCCGCAACCCAAAAACCGCCCCGACCCCGGGGTAAAGGGCAGCGCTCCTGCCCGGGCAAAACCGGCCCAGCCCTCCGCCCCTGCAGCCGGAAGAGCTGCGCCTGTTGCAAATCGCAGGTAGTAAAAGCTTCTCACAGAGCACATTTGACACGATTTTATTTTTCTTTTCGTTCCCAAAAATACAAAGTGACAGCCGGCTCCCCAGGTCAGCCTGGCAGGCTAACGCTTTCACACCCAGCCCTCCGTCTGGAGATCCAGATCAGGAGGTTCTGAGGCAGCTAAAATTTGATAAATCTGTAAGTGATCCCAAATGAGATGTTTATAACGAGAAAGATGTGGAAGATGTAACAGCGGCCAGTGCTACCAGCCCCTCTTACAACTCACACACACTAACAGCGCGAGTTGTCACTTCCAGATAAGGCAGCGGCCCCAATTCATTTTTGCAGACAGGATTCTAAGCAACTCAATCAGTAATTCTCCTTGTCTGGAATCCAAGGAACATCTTGTCATATCACCTAAGAAACACCCTTAGTCAAATATAAACCATTGCTGAAACCATAGAAAATTATCTTCTCGGTAGCAACAACCCTGCCCTACTGTCATTTACTGGATTTACAAGCACCATGAAGTAGCAACTTCTGAATACAACCCGTGTCTTCAGAAGATGCAGGCAGGCTATGAGGCTAAAAATTCAAGAACCAGCTGCGTGCCCTGAGTAGAGATCGTACGTGATGATGCAGATCCTAATGTGCCAAAAACTTTACCTATTTTCACACATGCTAATAAACTGCACCAGCTTTTAGGAAAGATGAAGAGGCAATAAATTGGCTCAAACTCCCCTTGTTGTTCCCTCTCATTCTGACAATTACCTTGATGGTTTGTCTCATGTACAACATTAATAGTGAAATGATTTTCAAGCACGCATTAAAAACTCACATAATCACTGTTTTATTTTCGTTTCCATTACCCCAACCCCAGAGGTTGCCTTTCAGATTACTTCTCTCCATTCCCAACTGTTTTCTCCACAGGTGAGAAGTTAGATTGGATGTCTCTGCCTATATAATTAGTGGATAAACTCAGCAGGATGCCATGCTGGTTTATTTTCCTATTAGAAAAGCATGATGTACTTCAAAAGAATTGTGGCTCATTTTCCCAGGTTATTCTCAACAATCTAACTGTTCGAGTTAGGCATCTTAATGCTGGGATTCTTCTTTAAACACACACCAAATTCAGATTTCCAATTAAAGCCTGATCACCTGTTTGATAATCCACGGTTCTCAGCTTTCATTTCCCTTTGTACATTCTTGCCAAATAATAAGATTCAGCAGAGTCCTTCCGGCTGGCCTGAGGCTTTAGAGTTCTCACATCTTGGAACTGCTCCTTCAGCCTGTTTTGCAGAAGTCGGGCCTCATGTCCATCCCAGAATTTACAAAGTATCGTTCCTTTTGGCTTTAAAATACTCTGGGACAGATTCAGAAGGCCTAGGCATAGATTGATCAGCTTCTGGTGATCCAGTTCTTTAATGCCTGTTGCATTAGGTGCCATGTCACTCAAGATAACATCCACCTTCTCCGCAGGAAGCAGACTCTGAATTGTCCTCAGCGTGCTCGGGTCTGCAATGTCAGCCTCCGACAGGAAGACTGCTCCTTCCAGAGGAGAAATCCGCAGCAGGTCAACGCCAACGACGAAGCCGGTGGGGGCACCAGGATCTAGATTACAAGGACGAATGGCACAACACTCATAATGGTTGGAAACAACCTGCAGACACATGAGCTCCGTGCTAGTCAATAAACAAAAAAAAACCCCACCATTTTCATTTCACCCGCCACGTTTGGTCTTCTTGTCCTTAGAGAGTTTGCTGAGTGTATCTAGATGGATGGTTTGCTGTAAGCTAATCCGTTTGAGTAATGAAAACTCAGTTACTTTAGATAAGGAAGGGTTTGCTTTTTTTCTTCAGCTCTTTCAAGACTGACAGCCCAGAAATCCTGGACAACAGTACAGAAGATAACACCTCATCTTGTAAATATTAATGGCTTAAAACATGAAAACCATATGGAGTGGTTACTACCATTTTTCTAGATAGGGAAATAAAAATAGAGAAAAGCCAAGTTACCTGCTGGACACTACACAAATTTCAGAACTCGATGAAGGGATCCTCCCCACAACACAGTTAAGGAGAACCCTAGCACCACGTGGTAAATTTTTTAATTCTCAGATATGATTTCTCCAGATTGAAGAACATTTTTACTGCCATGCAGGCACACACCCTGATGTGTCTATCAGAGATTGGCATTTGCCCGTACCCATGTCCCTTCTCCACACCACCAACGTCCCAGCTGTGCTTTGAGGTGAGTATCATACCCATCTCACCTGCCAAAAACGTGCACTTACCAGCACCTAAGGCGTTCACCCTCTCTACAGCAACCTGGCTCCAAGCACCAGGTGCTGCTCCACAGTCAAGAACAGAAAGACCTGGACGAAGAATATGCAGCTTGTCATCGATCTCCAGTAATTTGAAGGCGCTTCGGCAACGGTAATGCTGCTGCTTTGCTGCCTTGACAAAGGGATCCTTCGCTTTTCCAGCCACCAGTGCTCAGGGCCGGTTTTCTTCAGAAACCTCTCGGAGGTGTGGAGGCATTTGCTCACCACACACTGACAGCTGCCCAGGAAGAAAGGTGAGTTAATGGGTTAGTAAACGCCTCCAAATTTGCGACTCTTGGCACTTTCAGTTATCCCACCTGGCCAGGATAAAAGGGCCGAATTTTGGACGGCGGCCCCGGAGGTTACCCCCGGAGGAAAGGCAGGGCCCAGGCCGCACCGCGTTTGTGCTGCAGGCCCGCGGGGGCAGGAC